TCGGTAAGGTGATTGTTGTTTTACTATGAGTAAAATCGGTAGGGATTGTGCCATATTCATGAGCTTCAGTGAGAATATTGAATAGGGAATTTTTTTGTGTCTTCATCCAAATTTTTTACTATTTCCGCTGGGATTTTTTCCATACCAGTTGCTTTCCTGTCCTTCAGCTCCCTTAATGACTGTTCAAATTCTTCTTTTAAGATGTAGGGTCCTATCATAGATAATAGGAGGCATTCATATTTGCCGTTGTATTAGTTGGCTAAAATCGAAAAAAAAATTACACATATTATATGCATTACAGTCTACAACACAAAATATTAAAAACATTAAAAGATTTGACTTATAATTTCATCAACCGACAAACGGACAAACAAAATAGTCATTATCATACTTTTACAAGTCTCAGAGGTGGCTTGGACGTTATTACAAAAGGTGCACTGCACTCCCAAAAATATGGGTAGGGTGTATTTTTGTACATTTATAGGAAACTGTTATATTTAATACTTAATACTAATACAGTCGAATCCGCTTTATTGGGACACATCGGTTGCATATTATTTTGTCCCAATAAAGCGGTTGTCTCAATAATCCGAAATACAAAAACTTTATGACAATTTTTTATTATTGAATTTATTTAAATTTTTTATTACATTACAAAAAGAAAAACACGGTATTATAACTTAGTTATTTATAAAAATACATACATATATAATTAATATAAAGTACATATATTCATTGTATTTTATCTTATTTAAAAAAAACTATGAATATTACTTTGTTTCTTACGTATTATTGATTGTTGACGAATGTAGTCCGAACAAAAATCCAAAGCATTTATGGGGCTTCCCTCATTTTCTTGTTGAAGAAAAAATAGTCTCAATGTTTCCAAACATTTCTTTGCCTCCTGTAGTCAAATTGGTGGATCTGGTTCCTCGTCTGTATCTTCATCCGAATCATGTTTATCTTGTATGGATTTTATAATTGCATCATCAACATTTTCGTTTTGGTCATAACATTGCACATTTGAATCTAGATGTTCAAATTCTACGTTGTTCAGTACTCTTATAATATCATATTCTTCGGAATTTGGTTCTAATTGTTGATCGATTGTATGATTTTCTTCCAAAAAACCACACTTGCGAAAATAATTTTTTATCGTCTGACTGCTTACAGCTGTCTGAAATGAATTGAATTGCTTGCAGGATATTAATTTTTTTACTGATATCTATTGCCGTTGATTGTGGTTCAAGTACATTGTCTTCAATATTTTCTAAAATGTAATTGACCAGTATTGCTCTATACTTAACCTTTAAATTTTGGATAACACCCATATCTAAAGGCTGAATCAGTGACGTTGAACTAGGAGGTAAAAATTCAAGTTTGATGTTTTTCAAAGATACTATAGGATGGGTAGTAAAGTTGTCTAAGATGAGGCATATAGCCTTTTTTTGTTTTGTCCAAATCCGTATCCCAACGTTGCAATCATTCGATAAAAATGGCCGAAGTCATCCATGCATTTTTATTTGAGTGATACTCAACTGGTAATTTTTGTAAAGAAATTTGTTGAAAACAACGTGGTTTTTTACTTTTTCCGATCACTAAGAGCTTTTTTTTATCAGTCCCACTTACGTTCACACAACACAGTACAGTTATTCTCTCCATAGCTTTTTTTAATCCAGCTATCGATTCGTGTTTAAAACATAAAGAACCATCTGGTGTTGCACGATAGTATAATCTGGTTTCATCTGCATTATAAATATCTTCGAGAGAAAATTTTGCAAGAATCTGTGGAAGTTTTGTAAATTTCCATTCAACGGTACCATCAGAATTTGCACTAGCTTTTTCGCCATGTACTCTTTTAAATTTTATGTCGTGTCTTACTTTCCACCTAGATAACCAACCTTCGGTGGCTTTGAATTTGTCGTTACCAAGTTTTCTAGCAAGGTCTTCGGATTTAGCTTTTAATATTGGATCCGACACTTGAACACCCCGGCTAGTAGCCAGTATAAACCACTGAGTCAGTGCCTCATCTACATCTGAATCTTTACCCTCTCGTTTCCTTTTCCATGTTGTCACTTGGCTGAGAGCTTGTTCTTGCAAAAGCTGTTCTTGAAGTTGAATTTGTGCGATTGTTGATTTCGGTATTCCTAAAATTTCCGAAAGACGACAAGTACTACAGCCTAGTGGCTGTAATTTAATTTTGTCGAGAATTTCTAATTTTTGCGCGAGCGATAAATCTTTACGTACACGATACATCGTTAATACACGCGACAAACACGACTTATGCACCAAATAACATTTAACATACATCACATGTTAACATACGATAAGATAAAATTTAATCTAATAAACGATTACGCGAGTCGGTCGCGATTTTCGAACTACTGATCTATTAATATACTCGATAAAAATGTCCCAATTATTCGGATTCGTGGCCCAGATAAGCGTTGAAAGTTTATCCTACAAGTATACATTTGTTTTCGTAATTTAAAAATTGTCCCTATTAAGCGGTTGTCCTTAATAAAGAAGAATTTTGTTTAGTACTACTCCAAAATAATACAAGCAACATTCATTCTTCCTGTATTAGAAGTCGTAGTGTCACAGCAAAGTGCATTCACACGTTTAGATAGGTCCCAATCATTTAATAATTCGTACACAGCATTTGCCATATTTTGACCAGTACCAGAATCTAATTTTGGTACTCCAATTAATTGTTTCGAGTTTTGAAATGTTACTATGACCGGAAGTTGATCATGTTAAATGTATTTACTTGTAAGCAAAAGTTTACTATCCCAATGAACTACAATGGCTTTACAATTTGTTTTGAAATCTTATTTTAATTTTATTGCAATATTTTTTCTTATTTGTAGTTGACGTTGTCTAATAGATGTTCGGTTAATTATTAGATTAAAATTATCGTGTCCTAATGCTTCAGTAGTTACCATAAGAATATGATCTCCATCACGATCACTAACTTTGCAATGATCCAAAACCATGACGAGACGATCATAATCGGTTACAGTACCGGTTATTTTCAGTTACTGTTCTGGTCCCTGGTTAGATCTGTTATAGCGATTATTTATTTTTCTTGGAAAGTGAATTAGGATCCTGGTTGAGAACTGCAGTGAGTGATTCTGAGAGTTTAGAATTGTTTCTGTCCTTGTTGTAAATGCGGCCTTCGGTAAATATGTGTTTTATGTTGACAGAAACCTCACATGTGATGCTTATTGGTGCATTCTCTTTAGATATTAGGAAGTTGTGTGGCCGATTTGTTATTTTATAATTGAAGATTACAATTCATACCTTTTAACTCACAAGGATAATTTCACATTTATATAGGTAATATCCCGCTGTGGAAGTAGTTCGATACGCATGCGCTTCATACGCTCCCGTTATAATAGAGATGCGATGTTATATTTTAATTACTTATTTTTTTCCTCTTTCTTTTTTTATTATGTGCTTTCATTGTGTACCTCTCGACTATAATAATAAATCATAAAACTAACCTTAATATAACTTCACAAAAATTATAAATTCGTATTTTACACAGGGTACGACAAAAGTTATATAACCGTATCTGTAGAAACCCGTGACGCGTCACGCGCGCACCTTATCTTGGGTCCACTCGGTGACTCCGTTCAACTTAATTACCAAATTAATCATGTCGAATGCAAACTCAAACAAAAATATTAAGAAAAATAATGATAAATATCCAAATCATACAAATAAACCGTCGAACTTTATATCAAATGTTAAACATCATACATCTTCAACTATGAATATTAACGAAAACAATTCAAATGATGGTGGTTGGACCACGCAAGTAAATAAATGACATAATTATAGTTCTTCCAATACAGCCTCAAAACCAGCATCTCTAAATAAACAAAAAAAAAAAAAAATAATTAATAATAGAAGAAAAATTTTTTCCACGTCAAACCACTTTGAACTGCTCGTCCAAGAAGAACCGGCTGAAAATATATCGAATGATCCCAATCCACCTAGTATTTAAAATGAAGTTATTAAACCTCCTATATTCATTAAATGTGCAGAAGATTTCTCAGGCTTATGTTCGGTTCTAGTAGAACTAATTGGCGTTGACAACATTTTTTGCAAATCTTCAATCGATCGATGAACTAGAAGTTCGTCTCTTTAAAGTAAGACGTTCTTCATAAAATCAACAAAAACTGCCTTCCACTTTTTTTCGTTTATCTCGTACCTACACCAAGAGCTAAACATATTTTTCAATTGACTTCACTGTTATACAAAAAAATTAAAATTGAAGAGCCTTATAAGTCTAAATCAATAAGCCAATGTTTTAATTGTCAACAATATGGTCATACCAGATCATATTGTGAATATCAACCTCAATGTATTCGCTGCGGATCTGATCACTAGTCACCTGATTGTTCCAACTCACGTGATATTCCTCCGAAATGTGTACTATGTTCAGGTAATCACCCAGCCAACTAAAAAGGCTGCTCAATCTAAAAAGACTTCCAACTACGAAAAAGACACACCTCAATAAGTAATTTTATATACAACATCTATAAATCTAAAATTATTAATGAAAAAGGTACCTATCTAATCATAATGTCTCTAGTCAACCCCCGACTCAAACGTATGCTCAGGCTATGTCAAACACGCGTACTTATAATGAAGTACCACCTGCTTCTAAAGCCCAAGTCCCTGATATTAATAAACGAATGTCAAGTTTTCTAGACGAATTTGACCAAAGTTATCTCTCATTTACTGGATAAACAAAATGTATAATAATAATAACAATAATAACTCTGTCACAGATAAATCTCTATTAATATTACAATTCAATTCAAACGGACTCAAAAACCACTTGCATGAACTAGAAACTGTTTTAAATAACAAACGTATAAATATTGACCTCATCACTGAAACGCTCTTCACAAAATATTCTCATATCTATATCCTAGGCTATACATTAATTAAAACCAACCACCCAGACAACACTGCGTATGGTGGTATCACTATTTTTATTAGATTAATAATTGTATTTCATCCCTTACCTAGTTTCTGTCAAGACTTTCTACAGTCTTGTGCAATTGAACTCAAACTAAAGAACACAATAATTATCGTAGCTTCGATTTATTTTCAAGTACAGGGTCACGCAAAAAACCTCCTGTATTTAGAGCTTACGCTGTGTGAGTTGTGGTGTTGGTGCAACTATGAAGGGGATATCGATCGATAGCGGTGTACGTGCCATTTTTAGTAGGCGCAATGGCGTGGACTAGTTAACATCATGCTTTTGTTGTAGAGGAGTATATCCGTAATGGTGATTCTGCGATTTCTACTCAGCGAGCATTTCGCATCCGGTTCAAACTTGGCCGACATGATTCTGTTCGGGATGGAAAAACAATGCTCGTTTGGGTGTTCAACTTTAGAGCAACGGGTTCTGCACTGAAGAAAAAACCACCTGGCCGACCTTTGACCATAACAACACCGGAAAATGTCGCACGTGTGAGGGCGTCCATCCAGAAATCTCCAAGGCATTCAGCAGTTAAACATGCAGCTGCCCTGGGACTTTCTGATAGGAGTGTAAGAAGAATCTTACACAGAGATCTTCATATGCACCCATACAAAATAATGATTACACAAGCATTAAGTGAGAGAGATTTTGAAACTTGTAGAGCGGTGTGTGAAGACATTCTTCAGAACATTCCTGCTGGTAATGTTTTGATTTCGTCTGATGAGGCCCACTTCCACTTGTCTGGTATTGTTAATAAACAAAATTACCACTACTGGGCAGTAGAAAATCCTCAGGAACTTCATCAACGGCCACTTCACAGCCCATATGTGACAGTTTGGTGTGCAGTATCTGATTTTGGTGTGTAAGGTCCGTATTTTTTTGAAGAAAATGGACTATAAGTAACGGTTAATTCGGATCGGTATTTGACAAAAGTTATGTTCAAAACAAAGTAATAATTGTATTTAATGTAAAATGGCATATTATGTGTAATTGAAAAATAAAATAATTTGTTCTGTATCTTTGTTTATTAATTTGCAATTACTTTTTGAAATATGGGAGATTTTTTTGCCGGACCCTGTACAATAATTGATTATTTTCTTAATTATTAAGAACAATTGCATTATAGGTGGTGATTTAAATGCAAAACATCAAGGGTGGGGATGTCGCGTAAACAATCCACGTTAGGTTACTCTGTTCAACTTTATAAATTTGAAACATTACAAAGTGTTAGCTCCTCCAGAACCAACGTATTGGCCAACTTCCTCTCGTAAAAACCCAGATATTTTTGATATATTTGTTGCCAAAATTCCAAACAATTTATTTTGCACTACTACAAATATTCTTGATCTAAATTCTCATCATTCCTCTGTACTTCTAACAATAAATACGATCCCAATAAATAAAGAATCTTATAAACTTTTTAAAAGATTTCCAGATCGTATTAAATTTTATGACCTTGTAAATGAAAGAATTAAATTAAATGTTAATTAAAATCATTTGATGACATAGATTCAGCGGTTAACAACCTTACTAATATCATTCAAATAGTAACCTGGTCAGCTACAAACTTCAGCCCATCGACTTCCACTCATATTCCACCACTCCCTGAGTATATATGTATGAAAATTGTTGAGATTAGAAGAGCTAGAGCTCTCTTCCTCATACTCGTCTTCTTACTCATAGACAAAACTATAATTATTTAGCAAATTCATTAAAAAAAATGCTTGCTAAATATAAGTCTAAAACTTTTCAAAATCACTTAATGAACCTCTCTCCCAATGATAATAGTCTATGACGTTCAATAAAACAGCTTCTCTATTTTAAGACAAAAAATCTCCTTATCAAAAAACCTGATGGAAGTTTTGCGTGCTCTAATTCTGAAAAATCTGAACTCTTCAAGTCCCACCTCTCAGAAATTTCCCAACCTCATTCTGACATAATAGATAATGAAACCATGAACAAGGTAAATGCTTCACTAAACTTTCCTCTTCCCCTTACTCTTCCAGTTAAATTATTTACACCAAACGATATAAAATGTACTTTTCAAAAATGCCCACTGAAGAAGCCAATAAGCTTTGACCTTATAACCGCTGAAATAGCTAGAAGCTTGCCATATAGAACCCTGGTCCATATCTCTCACATATTTAATGCAATTCTTCGCCTTTCATATATTCCGATCCTCTAGATGTTTTCAACCATAATATTAGTTCCAACGCCAAATAAGCCTCCTGATTTATTGTCATGCCATCGACCAATAGCCTTTTGTCTTTTTTTGTTAAAATACTAAAAAGACTAATTTTCAAATGTATTATACCCATCATTACAGAAAACCTTGTCCTGCCCGAAACACAATTTGGTTTCCGTGGATCTCACTCTACATTAAGTCCAAAAAGTCATTGATGCTATTTCGTATTCTCTGGAAAAAAAAATTGTATTACACATGTGTGTTTTTAGATATTTCCCAACCTTTGGACAGCGTATGACATAATGACCTTCTGTTTAAACTTAAAAAATTACTTCCGCCTACCTACTACATCCTAATAAAATCATACCTCTCGGAACGCTATTTTCAAATTCGGTATGGATCAGCAGTTTTTGCTATAGCACCTATAAATGCTGGTGTTCTTCAAGGAGGAATTTTATCCGATCAACCATCTGATCAACCAACAACAAATAGTACATCAGTAGGTAATTACGCCGACGATAAAGTAATAATTTTCATTAATCATGACCCTAATATTGCCTCAACTATTTTACAAAATCACTTTAACTGTATGGAAAATTAGTTTACCAAATGGCGTTTTAAAACTAACCAAAGTAAATCAGTTCATACTACTTTTAATCTAAGACAGACCTTTTATCCGAAGGTTACTCTACATGGTGTCCCTATACCCTCATCTCCTACCGTTAAATATCTTAGTAATACACTTGATCAAAGATTAACTTTGGCCCATCATATTCGTATTAAAAAACTAGCATTAAATAATCGTTTGCGTATGCTCAAAACTCTAATTAATAATAATAAATATACTTCCTTAAATATTAAATTTTTAATATATAAAACGTTATTAAAACTAATGTTGACATATGTGCTTAATGTTGTGGGTAATGCAAAAAAGTCGAATATAAACAAAATACAAGCATTTCAAAATATTGCTCTCAGGAAATTAATAAATACCCCACTTCATATATCGAATTATACACTTCATAAGGATCTTAAACATAATTCAATTAATGAGGAAGCCAATTCCTATTATAACAGATTTCATAAACTAATAATATACATCACTAGGTACTCACAAAAACCCTCTCATTCAGAATCTGGCCTCGGCTACGATTTCTGGAAACCCCCCAAACGCTTAAAGCGCAAGTGGTATCGTGATCTCCTAAATTAAAGGAAAAATAAAAAATAAAAAATAAAAAAAATTATAATAATAATAATAATCTAGAAGAAAATATTTCTTTATAAATGAAAGTGCCATCAATGGGTGGCTTCTTTCTTCATGTATATGGTTTTGTTTTTCTACATGTCTTCTTACTCTTAACTAATTTTCTTATTGTGTCTTAAATACAGATTTTATACATCGTTTAATAAATAAAAAAAAAATAAAAAATATAGATAATAAACTTGATAAAATAAAATAATATGAGTACGTATTTTGATAAGTATATAAGTTTTATTTTTCTACTGCGATCATGTTAAATCAATCAAAGTAGATTATATTGTTTTTTTTTTTTTTTTTTTTTTTTTTTTAAACCCTCCCCCCCCCCCCCCCCCGTGCTTGGTATATTGTACAGTTGAAGTATATTAAGATTAAATTATATTGAAAGAGATGTGTTAAAAATCGTATTCTTGACAATAATTGTTTCTGAGATGGTAGCAGTTCTTATTCTAAAAAATATGGTGCAGCCAGGAAACCGAAATCGTCGGTGACTATGCGTTAAGCACTGTCGCGATATCAACACGGAAATGACAATCCCAAACTATTTTACTATTTTATTTTTATGTTTTTGAAATAGTTATTTGTTTTCTATAGTTATAAGCATAACACTCAAAATTTGGATATTTCGTAAGACGATTGAATGTAAAATATAGAATATAAGGTGTTTACTTTACCAAAACAAACATGAAGTGTGAACATCATCGTAAGTAGGATGAAATGGCCGGTTCTGGCCCTCCGCAAAACCGCCATAATCGCCCCCCACCACCCACCGCAGATGACCTTAACGATAAGATTTAACCCCAATTAATCATAATTAATCCATAATCCCAATTAGTCAAATTGACACTAATTGGTCAATTAAAAGAGTCAATTGACCCATTAGTACCCAATTAAGTACTTAATATCTGATCTTAAACGGGTTAAGTGGCCAATTAGTACCAATTAAGTATTTAACCTGTAATCTTCATCGGCGTAATTGGTCAATTAGTGTCAATTAACAACTCAACCTGTGATCTTCAACGGGGTAATTGATCAATTAGTGTCAATTAAGCGCTTAACCTATGATTTATATTTAATGATTTATCGATCGATTACGAGACATGGGTGAAGGCGGCGGTGGTGCGGTGATAAGCCACGTTTAACCCTTTCGCCCTCGGTCACGACCGCACTTCACCACCGGACTTTCCCATCCGCCGTCGCTATATTCGTTACGATGATGAGAATGACGACGACACCCGCCTCGCTGTATTTATCAACGTTAAACTTCAAGTCCATTTTTAACAAGCAATCGCACATTTACTGTCTCCTCACGAAACTCGTCGTCCTGATTTGTTAGCGAGACTCGCACAAAGTCTATGACGTTGGTCTTTAATTTGTACAGTATGCAGAATTTAGGCACTTCGACTATTCTGTAGCCCGACGGGGACTCGGGGTAGAATCGTGTATCATGTGAGACTCTTTCCCGTTATTGAATGAGCCTAGAGCTAGATTGCACTTAACTTTTATGGTGTTGACGTTCATAATTTTCACCACGTGATTCGACTCGTGGTAAGCGTGAGGCGCGAGTACTCTCGTTTTTTCAAAACCCAATAGTGATGTGATGCTGTCCACGCACTCCATCCGTATCGTGTGACTGTATGCAATAAACATTTCAACGTGGTGCTGTCGGCGGTCAGGTGAAAAAAATCCACGTTCTGCCCCAATAGCTTTTGTATTTTCGCTTCCAGCGTGAATATCTCATAACAACCCGGCGGAACGGACGAGTACAGCTGCTGTGGGTTCTGCGGGCTCGGTATTTCGGAAACCATGGTATTGCAACCTGTTCGCACGTTCGATATGAAATTATACGTCTGCAGGCTTAAAGGCCTATTTCGGAATTGTCGCTCACCTGTATGGGCAGAGAGATGTGACATTCCAGTTGCGAGTTGTCGTCCGTAAGCGAAAGCGTTTGAGACGTTGATATCATAGCGCGGCGGATCGTTTTAAAAATATCTAGCTCAAACATCCGCACTCGTGCGTGCCGATCGATTGGTGCTTATCGTAATTGTTCTCCAAATCACATTCCTTGAAGTACCGTTGAAGCAGTAGCGGTGGCGGTAGGTTCCCGAAACTATTGTAATAGCTCACGCACTTGTCCGTTTTCCGGTAACACACCCAATGCGTGTCGTCCATTCTACTGTTAAGTATGTCTTTGTTTCTCATTATAGCGAGAGAGGTCCAGTTCCGATTATTTGTTAGTATTGAATTCGGTATGAAATCAAAATGTTGTTCCTGGTTCGTTTTACCTGGTATGAGTATATCACGTGTGGCATACCCTTTACAAGTTTCGATGAGACGTAGTATCCCAACTCCTTTTATTGCATGGCTGCTAGACTCCGTGTCTGCATCGCATGTGATGAAAAATGTTTCTCCGCTGAAAACGTATAACCACAAGTTTTGAAACTGTAGCTTGTGAAAAATTGTAGT